ATAAGTTATTTAATAAATTTATTTAATAAACAAGTTATTTAATAAGCTTAAAAAATAAATTAAGCTTTGTATAAGTCTCTAAGTTTATACAAAGCAAAGATTATCACTTTAAGATTGAAACCCAAGTCTCCTCCTTTCCCTCTTTGGTAATCTGGGGAAAACTCCAGCCATTGAAGAATTTTAATTTCATTTAAGTTAAGTAAAAGGTGTGCATAAATAACATATAGGTAATACTTCAATGAGGAATTTTCTTGAATGAAATCTTTGCAGCACCGAAACTGAAATCTCACATGCAAAGCACTGCTGTGTGGGGGAAAATGTGAAAATGGCTATTTTACATTGGCCAAATATAAACATCCTAAGGAATCAGATCAAGTAATAGATGTCAAAGTGCTTCAAAAACTATGAAGCATTATATAAAATCAAACATACTGCTATTGATGTTGAGTTCCAGCAACCAGCAGAAATTTGACCTTAGCATACAGAATTACATAATTTTGCCTCTGTAGTCATCTACCATTTACTATTTCTGGTTACACTAACAGAAAGAGTCCTTATTAGCGTGCCTTCCCTCACATTCTTTCCCAATCCATATAATATGATATTTTCATATCTTCAAAAGTTTGTGTATAATCCACAAGCCATTAGAACAGACGAAATGTTAAATACACAGGTGAAAATAAAAGGAATGTACTTTCTCTGTATCTAGACCAGGACAATAAAAACATGAAAAACTATGCTGTCCAAAGTACGGTCCATAATCTTATGAGAGTATGGAGAGGTGAGACCGGAAGAGAAAGAACAGCACGGAAGCGGCAGAGAAAGTCCAAAGCCAAGAGGGATGTACATTTAACTTGTTCTAAGCCTGGCTGTATTATTCTTAATGTTTCTTTATTTCCTAGACTATCTAATAGAAGAAAGCGTGTCATTTCTCACAGCTCTGGGCTTTCCTTTCAAAACAGGGATTCTGACACCTGTTCTTATAAACTAGAACAGCAATATAACAATATGTAATTTTTGTTGAGCATTTACTGTGTGTCAGGTACTGTTCTAAATGTTTTACATGGATTAACTCAGTTAGTTATCACAATATCCCAGTAAGATGGGTACTTTTATTTTTTCTACTTCACAAAGGAGAAAGCGGAGACAGAGGTTAAAGAATCTGCCCTAAAGCCATAGAGCTATGAAGTGATGAAGTCTAGTCTTGAATTCTGAAACTTTCCCTAAGTAGTTCACTCCAGTGGTTTTCAAGCTACATTCTGCAGACTCTTTCAGCTCCAAAAGTTCTACTTCGAAAATGCATTTTACCCTGTTTAAAAACAGCAATGAAAACATCACAATCAAAACTTTATAGATTGAATATAATACACTAAAGGGAACCAACACATTAACTTTTTGTTGCCAGATTATGTTGCTTCTGTGCAGCCCTTGAAATAAAGCTAGACCTGTCACCACTGAGCTCTTACTTGAACTTCTTGTAAATGTTTCATTGGTTTGGAAGGTGTAACTCTGCACTTTTTTTTTTTTTTTTTTTTTAATTGAGCTGCAAAGTTTCCAGGGTCCCATGTAGTGATAACAATATGTCACTATTTTTTTTTTAATTTTTTTAATTATTTTTTTTTTTTTTTTNTTTGAGACGGAGTTTCACTCTTGCTACCCAGGCTGGAGTGCAATGGCGCGATCTCAGCTCACCGCAACCTCCGCCTCCTGGGTTCAGGCAATTCTCCTGCCTCAACCTCCCGAGTAGCTGGGATTACAGGCACACGCCACCATGCCCAGCTAATGTTTTTTGTATTTTAAGTAGAGACGGGGTTTCACCATGTTGACCAGGATGGTCTCGATCTCTTGACTTCATGATCCACCCGTCTCGGCCTCCCAAGGTGCTGGGATTACAGGCTTGAGCCACCGCGCCCGGCCACTTTTTTTTTTTTTTTAACTGAAGACTACATCTGCCTGCTGAGACTGTACAGCATACAAGTTCAAGCACAAGAGTGAACAAAAGGAACATACTGTCCCATTCGTTTTGTTTTGGGGGGTTTACTGCCTGATATACGTAAGGCAAGAAATACATGCTAGATAAGAATTTAAAATTTTTCCTATGTTCCTAGAATCTCTTATTCCTCTTTCTAGCTATAATATTTAATGGAATGATATCCTGAGATGGCAGGAGAAACTTTTAGGAAAAAAAAATCCACTTCCCCCAACCCACACCAGCTCCACATTTTCACTGTTACGCTCTGGTCCTTGTGCCTACGATCCCCTGCCATTCCACTTTGCTGGATCGATCACTTCCACTCTGACTGGTCTTCAAGTTTATTGAGTCCACTGTTCCACTGGCCATGTACTATCTGCTATTTGACTGACCAATCCATTAGTCTTTATCCACTTTCACTCTTTATCCAGCTGATACTCCGCAAGCCATCATTACAATACTTTGGCCACTATCCTAAATACCTTGGCTGCTGTCATTTCATTGCGTATCTGGCAAACTCCAACACTGAATGAAGCCTTCTACTGGCTTTCACATTATTCTTGATGTTTCCTTATTTCCAAGAACGCTTGGAAAACTCACCTATCTCAATACCAAAGTAACTGAGCACTACTAAAGAAGGTCAAGAGAGCAGATAGGTTATCACACTATATGTCCGTGACCATCAGCTTCCATGAGGCATCAATGCTGCTAGACGATCCTACTTATCACAGTTGACAAGCTTTCTCGGCAATTACTTTTTTTCAAACAGTTTCTATTTCCTGAAACCTTGGACGTCCATCCCTCCCATCTCCGTGGCAACTCATAGCTGATTTTGCCTCCAAATTTGAGAATTATACTCATCCTATCCTTGCTTTCTTCTGAATACAAGAGGATTTTGCCCTTTTCTTTTTATTTTTTAAAGACATAGTGCTGTTCTGTGGCCCAGGCTGGAGTGCAGTGGCTGAAGGGCAGTGGTGCAATATTAGCTTACTGCAACCTCTGTTTCCGAGGTTCAAGCGATTCTTTTGACTCAGCCTCCCGAGTAGCTGGGATGACAGGCATGGGCCACCGGGCCTGGCTAATTTTTTGTATTTTTCATATATTTGTATTTTAAGGTCTCACCATGATGGCCAGGCTGATCTCAAACTCCTGTCCGCAGGTGACCCGTCCACCTTGGCCTCCCCAAGTGCTGGGATTATAGGCGTGAGCCGCGGCACCTGGCTATCCCCTTTTCCATCTTAAGGAACGTTGTGCTATCACTTATCTTTCTTCTTTTTTACATGTAACAATTCTCCTCTTTCAACTATATCTTTCTCATGGACATTTGGTCTATTTTATCTATTGGGATTCCATCTAAAACTTCTTTGTAAAAAGGCATTTCTGCTAGAGCATGAAAACCTCTTTCCCCTAAGTATGTAAAGCCTGAAAGTCTCATAAAAGGAGTCAATACACATATAAGTAGGATAACAACAGGTCACGAACTAGATGTCACACATGTAACCGTGTTGTCTGGTAGCAACAATATTTTCATAAACGAAGCCCATGGCACCACCAAATTCGAAACCATCCTGATCCTTTCTTCATATGTTTTACAATTAAGAGCTGTGCTAAAACTCCATAGGCAAGAAAAGTAGCAGAATTTTTAGAGTGTTATTTTAATAACCAGTGAATCTGACAGCATGATTTTGTGTTACTAGGTCTAGATTGGGGGAGAGAAGGGAGGGAGGAGGAAGCAACAAATGTCCCAGCTACCACTTTTTTTTTTAAGAGCTAAAAATACTGCAGGATAAATACAGAACCATAAGTAATACTTAAGAAGTTTTGACAGCACAGTGATGCATTTTTATAAGAAATTATCCACGGAGGGAGCCTGACATTCCCAACCCCCCAACAGTTCCTTCACCTGCACTGAACAAGCAGTTAAAAAACAAGACCATTCCTTAAATCGGAGCAGCTCTCCTGACAGCTGTTTACATTAATTAAGGTTTGGTCTCACAGGTCTGGGAGAGGGGGAGAAAGAGAGACGGGAGACTCGGGGAAGGAGGAGAGGTAGCAGGGAAAGAAGTGGCCCAAGCTGAGAAAAGTCTGCGAAGCGCATTCACCTGGGGTATCCTTCAGAAAGATGCCCGCCTCTTTCCCGAGGGCATCACCTTGCCTCTCCCGCCCACAGCTCCGTGGCGTTTACAGCAAGCACTGCTACCGCTGCCGGGCTGCCTGCAACTCTAATGTGTTATTTAATTTTGTAACTACTATTAAGATCTCTCCAGCGTTTTTGTGATGTGCTGGAATGAAAGACGCTCCATAAAATGAGGTTTATTATTAGTAGTATTATAGCTCCCGGGCCTAAAATAAAGCAAAATTATAACCACATACATACTTCAAAGGGAAAATCCGAAGCCACAAGCGTCTCAAACACTGCCAAGCGGGCAGGGGATGGGCGAGGGCGGGAGAGAGAGGGGGGCTCCATTCAGGCGCCCCCCCCACTCCCACCAGCCCCACCAGCTCTCCCAGCACCCACCATTCACCCTGCCTGGTGGGGTCAGCGCCCGCAGCCCGGGCACCTCGCCCCCGGCCGCAGCTTCCTCTAGTGGTGGAGGGTCTGGGGTCGGACCTGACCCTCTCGGCCTCCCCTCGCCCCCCAGCTCTCTAGTGGCTCCCGCACTGCCCTGCAGGCTGCCTCACTTCCAGCCCCAGCCTCTCCGCCTGGTTTCTAATTCCCTAGCAGGCGCCGCAGTTTCCTCCCGTCTCCCACCTTGACTTTTTTTTTTTTTTTTTTTTTAAATCCAGAACGAAGCTCCTTCCTCTACGATGCCTCACATCGGAGGGCTGCTCCCCTCCTCCCCGGTCCCAGACCCTTTTCCCGTCCGCCACTTTTCCAGTCCTCTTCTCCGTCCCCTTCCTCCGCGGCCCGGGTCTCCCCTCTGCCCCCGGGCTCCTCAGGCCAGCCCCTGGCCGGGACCCTGGTTCTCCCCTCCCTCGCGTCGCCCTCAGCCAATCCCCCGCCCGGCCCCGCGCACCCGCCGCTCACCCGCGGACTCCCCGGTGTTGATCCAGTCCGGGTTGGCGATGCTGGCGATGGCGAAGATATCGGCGGCCAGAAAGAGACATCCTGAGATGATGGTCAGTTTATCCATCTCCCCGCCCCGCTCCCCCCACCCCCCGAGCCCCGGACAGGCAGCGGCCTCACGCCTCCCGCCCCATGGGCCGCCGCCGGGGCCCGGAGTCCCCGCGCCGCTGCCTCGCGCCCCCTCAGCCTCCGCGCGCCGCTCGCGCCCTCCGCGCGCCCGGGACCAGCAGCCGCGGCGCGGCCCGCACAGACTGAACCGCCGCCCGCCCCGGAACTGCTCGGCCCGCCCGCCCCTCACCCGGAAGCGAAGTCTCGGCGCTGGCGAGGCCGGTCCCGGCTCCCCGGCTGCCGCGCCCCCGCTCCGTCCTCCCGGCTCGGCACTCCGCCGCGCCGCCCCGGCCCTCCAGGCCGTCCTGGGCCCCTCCCCGCACCGCCGGCCTCCAAGCTCCGGACCCGGACCCGACCGGCCGGGCTCAGGTCACTGCCCGGGTCCCGGTCTCTTCCGGCAAGCCACGCCACCTCTTGCCTTTCTGCCCACTAACGATAAGATTGTTGTCGTTCTTGATGACTGTTTGGACACAGGCTGCTCCCCCTCCTGAGCCCCTCAAAAGCGAAACCGGAATGGGAGTGGGGAGCCGCCCGTCTTCCAGCAGGAGGGTGGTGCCGACTCCCGCCGAGTGACTCCGGGCCCCGCGCGGTCCCTGTCACCTTGTATTCTCATTGCCCGTTCCGCGGCTGTCAGCTCCCAGGATTGCCCCATTTAGCTCTCGACACCCCCTCTGCGTCAGGCGCTGTAGGTGCAGAGGTACTGGGGTGGACAGAGGCAAGGCTCCCTCTCTCGAGCTCACGCTCCGGCGGGAAGAGACAGAAACACATTAAGAACCTATCTGTAAAATAAAGATAATTTCAGGTGCCGATCCCTGAATTCAGTGGAGGTCAATGTGATGGGAGTCGGAGCGATACCTGCGACAGGGAAGGATGCATTTCCGCTGAGACCATAAAGATCATAAAGACCTGCACTTTGAAGACCTGGCACAAGACCAGAGGGAACAGCCAGCACAAAACTCATTAGGGGTGGGGGGCAGAAAGAGATCGGCCGGTCCAAGAAATTGCAAAATGGCCTGTGTGGCTGGAGAGTAGTATGACAAGAGGTAGGCAGAGGCCAGGTGTAGGGCTCTAGGGGCCTTGGATTTTGTTCTGAGTGCAATGAGACGATAATGGAGTTGTTTGCAGGAGAGTCCCATGATGTTATTGAATCTGTGAAGATCCATAGAGTAGCTTGCATGGGGGAGAGGCGAAGATGACAACAGGGACGCCAGTTAAGAGGCCAAGTAGTCCACGAGAGAAAAGTATGGCTTTGGCTAGGGTGAGAGTAATGAAGATGGGGAGGAATGGACAGATTTGGATGTTTTGTAGATAGAGGGATAAGGGGAAGGAGTTGAAAGAAAGAAAACTCAAGAATAACTTAAGTTTTTGACCTGAGCAGCCAGGTGTTATGATCCCGTTTACTGAGTTGTGTGTGGAGCGTCTTAAGTTGGATGAATAAACAGGAAAAAAAATAAGGCATTTGCGTAATCTGTCAGCAAATTATGCGATGGTGGGGAGGTTTTGTTTTCTTCCACAGCTCATGGGCGGAATCACCACTAACCCTGACTTTTGATCCAGCTCTCCCTAATAGTCCTCCGTGCAGCAAATGGAGCGAAACACTCATTTTCTCCTTAAATGCCACATAGGTCATCTCTAGAAAGACCTAGAAGAGTGACATGTGTCTCTATTTTTGGAATGCTTACATGTCCACAAAATTCAAGAGGTTTCAGATTCCACCAAATCCAACAGCCTTGCAGAAATGTGCACAGAGTATTAGTGTAACTACATAGCTTGGAGAAGGGAGGGTTTGATTGCTGGGCTATGTAGACTTCCGTCCAAACATTGGTCTCTTGAGGAAAAGGATTTTTTTTGTTGTTGTTATTATATAATTTATTTTTCCTCTGCCAAAGAAATTGACACAAGATAATTGATATAGTCCCAAGAATCCAGATATAATGCATATGACATTACTGCAATAGTCTTTAGTTTCTTCTTTTCTTCTTTTTGTAAGTACTGGAGCAGTTTAATTGAGCCATACTCTGGGCTTCTTGTTGGGCTTTTCTATTGCCCAGTGATAGAAAAAACTGTACAGGACTAAATTCTCAGATAATATCCACCAATGTTCTCTATTGACCAGCTTAAAAGAATCCCAGAGCTGAATGTTAAAACAGTTTGCACCTATTCTAACTCCAGCTGAATAGAATGATGATTAGGTTCTTGTGTTTAAAGTAAATACATGTAGCCAAGCATGGTGGCTTGCACCTATAATCCCAGCTAATCGGGAAGCCGAGGTGGAAGGATCACTTGAGTCCAGGAGTTCAAGATCAGCCTGGACAACACAGGGAGACCCCCCTGTCTCTAATAAATCAAATAAATAAATAAATAATAAAAATCTCATTTTACCCTCTACAATTGGTTCTGGGTTTAAGATTAAAGCACAAGAACAACCAGTATTGAGTTAAAAGAATCTAAAACATTTTTATATTAATGGCTACACATCAGTACAGAGGATAGTCACCTATTCCATTCCTTCCTACCATCCAGAAAGGGAGGTAGGGTTGGCAGAAGCCAAACTGTTTACAGACTTCCCATTAATCCTTGTTTTTATCCCTGTATCTCTCTCTCTCTCTTTTTTTTTTTTTTTATTTAGAGATATGGTCTCACTATGTTGCCCAGGCTGGGCTTGAACTCCTGGCCTTAAGTGATCCTCTCACCTCAGCCTCCCAAGCAGCTGGGACTACAGGCCCACAACACTGTGCCTGGCTGGTGTTTCCAAGTCCCCAGTCTCTGAGATCTGTAGGACAGATCAGTTCCCTTCTCCCCTATATCTCTGTCTAGATTTTGGTACAGGCAAACCCTAAGGGTTTGGGGGAGGCGATGTAGTGAAGCAAGTACAGCACTATGTTCTAGTTCCTGCCCTGCTACTGATTTGACCTTGGGAAAGCCATGTCACCTCTCTGGGCGTTTTTTCCCCAGCTGGCCTAACAAGACTCCTGGACTCAATGACAGAAGCATCCCATCCTTTCACCCACCCCTAAGCGGAGCAGCTGGGGCTTCAGAAATGAGCCATGAGGCTCCTTATGGCAGAAAGCCTTGGGGATCCAGAAGAACATAGAAGGCTTCCAGGAGGGAGCTGTGCTGGCAGCCTGAAGTCATAAATAGCCATTCTGCAGCTGTTAAAGGGCCGTGAACATGGCATGCTTTATTGTGATGGATGGTAGACCTTGGCCAGAAGAGGCTGAATCCAGCTGGGACCGCAGGGAAAGCTGTGGAAGGGACTATGTGATCACTCTTCTCTTTAAGGAGTATCTCAATAAAGAACACACTGCCACCCTAGGGGTTAAGTTTACTATGTGGGCCAAGAGCATGGTGGATGCACCACACATGTGTACCTGGGGTTCTGGGGGTTACAGAAGACACAAGAAACTAAATCCAGTGTTAGCAGCTTGTGCCTGGGGTTCAAATCTCGGTTTGTTTCATGGATTGGTTCCCTTTGAGCAGACTCAGAAATGAGATTATTGATCAGTGTGCAGGAAGTTTATTAGAGAGCCTTTGAAGATCAAGTCCTCTGGGGGAAAAGGAAGCAGCATGGGAAGAGGAAGAAGTCAGTCTGTGCTGCCATCACAGGAGGCTTTGGCAGACCCCAAGGGAAGCTCTGAAGCTGGGATAGCTGCTCGGAGTTGGCCTGAGTTGGAGTCAAGGGGCCAAGCCTTTTCATCCCTGCAGTGACCTGCCACGGAGCGTTAGCTTGGAGGGCAGCTCACTTTGGACAAAGACAATTCCTCAAGAGGGCTGACAGCTGAGATTGTCAACCTACCACCCTCCTAGTAGCCGGGGAATAGTCTTTCCGTCCTGACCGAGGCAGTGTAGTGCAGCATTTGCAAAAGTGCCGCAGGGAGCTGTGCCTCTCATTTGCTGCTTAAGTTTGGACAGCAGCCCTTCAGGACCCTGGGGCATCTTTTTCTGTGGGAAATGCACAGAGGAAGGTTAGTGGGACAAACCACAGCTCCTGCTGCCGCTACAGCTCATCTAGAGGCATAACTAACATACCCTTCAGTCCCTTCTTCTATCCATCCTAGATTCCTCTTCCCCCACTGCCAGCACCTCAGATGATGTAGGCGGCTTATGTGGTGGGGTGGCCTAGACTTCCATCCCTAAGAATTTGAGCACCTAGTTGCTGTGCACTTCTCAGGCAGTAGTTGCTGTATTTGTTCATTTACTGTCCAAATAGGGTAAAGGAGTACTAAGAGACACCTAAATAGATCACATAGGCGCCCAATGTTCCCCTGCCCCTATGCGAAGTCTCAACCCGATTCCTTCCTGGTGATGGAATACTCTTATCTGCTTCCCCACCCCCCCGCGATACCCCATCCCATTTACTGCTTGTAAAAAAACTTAGCCATCTTAGAGTTTCCCCTGCCAGTGGCTAGCTATGCTCCTTCTGTACCAGGGATGGGCTCCTCATTATTACCTGGGTATTAGGTGATCCATCCTAGCTCTATTCTTAGGAAGAAAGAATGAAGCAGGGGCCAGGCATGGTGGCTTATGCCTGTAATCCCAGCACTTTGGGAGGCTGAGGTGGGCAGATCACCTAAGGTCAGGAGTTCAAGACCAGCTTGGTCAATATGGTGAAACCCCTGTCTCTACTAAAAATACAAAAACTAGTCGGGCATGGTGGTAGGCACCTGTAATACCAGCTACTCAGCAGGCTGAGGCAGGAGAATCACTTGAACCCAGGAGTTGGAGGTTGCTATGAGCCGAGATCATGCCACTACACTCCTACCTGGGCAACAGAGCAAGACTCTGTCTCAAAAAAAAAAAAAAAAAAAAAAAAAAGCAGGACAGGGCAGAGGGAAAAGTCAGGCTGCAATGCAGCCACAACAGGGCCTCAGTGGACCGCAGGGTAAGCTCTGAACCTGGGATGGCCCTGCATTGACCAGTCACCAGATGCTAATTTATTTGGGAAGGTGAGACCTTGGGCAAGGGGCTCTTTTCAGCAGTAGCAATAGCGAGGGTGGGAGGTGTAAGTCCTTCAGCCCTGAAAGAAGATCTTGGCAGCACAGCACAGCACAGCACCCATGACAGTTTGTATCCTGCAGTTCCACCAATCAGCATGACCTTGGCATCTGCTCTAAAGACACT